TACATTTGTGATAACAGCTTATTAATGAAGCAAATATTGTGTTGGATAAACTCCTTAAAGGGATGCCAGAAGAACCCTCGTATTTCAAACGGAAGCACATTCTCCTGCCTGTTAGGATATGATTGATTAGGTCGTTAGGGCTCTTTCTTTCCTGCATATTTGTGCTAGAAAACCCAAATCCTTGTTACGCCGATGACATTTTCTGTTTGTTAACAACGTTCAATCAATCTCTTTGTAATATCATCATTTACCGCCATTTATCTTCGATATTCATATTTCATGCTAGCTAGGCGCTTCATGATTACTGTCCGAGCATACAAAGCCGCCACACTATTAAGAGATTACTTTATAACATTTTGTCAGGCAGAAATTAGTATTTTATCTGAGAACAAGCAGCATTGCAAAATGTTTTTGCGTTCTTTTCTATTGTTGCCGCTTATGACAAGATATCCGTTTTAGGTAGAATCGGTCCCAGATGTATGAGCTTTGTTATCAAATTTGAATATTACAAAATTCCATAAAACGCATGACTACAGTATTAAAAATTGTTGCTAGCAAAAATCTGTTATTATTTGCCAGTAAAGGTAAAATTAGTGGAGCAAAATAAGCATTTGTATCGCAGCTGACCGTGCCGTGCTATTCATCTCGGGAAGCATTTCTTTTCACTGTTAGCTTTGTATGCGCATATTGTGCAATATTTCCACTATCATTTGATCAAAAATTTGCTGATTTCGACCATTTAACTGCACGCGTTTATTTAGAACAAAATTTATAATTAGCACCATCAAGGTCATCGAGTTTTGCTCTTAAACGACATTAAAAGCGGCTCAGAACGTTGTCTCTCGTCCATAGCGAAGCATTTTTATGACGATCTCGTAGCTTTTTCCACAATATATCCCGTGTTCGATATCTGCTTTACGCTTCATGCATCGCTGCAAAGTGTCATTTGCTTGATGTAACTTGTCGCGCTGTAAAGCGATTTAAAACTAGTGGCAATAATGGTTCTATATTGCTTGCTGATCGGGAATATATTTTCGTACTACAAATTAAGTAGCAGCGTCGTATTTGTAAACAGAGAAAACTAAATCGTCACCACGCAAACTGACAAGGATTTCATTTTAAGAAACCATTTATAGCCTGCTGAGTTGGATGGATAGCAATAAAATTCGACTCACGAGACCGGAAATTACTCCTATTCTGTTGTTGGAGATTACCAATACTTCATATAACCAAAGTACGGTTTCATAACCAAAGTAACAACACGCTATGAAAATATTATTTTTTGATAGTGATCTGGATTCACCAGTGCACTTTAATTCGTCTTTAGCTGGTACGTACGTATGAATTTCTAGACTCCGTTCAATTATTTTAACGAATTGTGTATATGCACCTCATAAAAAATGCAATTGTGTTTCCCAATCTGCATATATGTAAAACACTTCAGAAAAATCAATATAATTTATTATGAAACAGGGTTTGGGTATTTCACTGTATTTGTACTAACATAAATTTGCTCAGTTTATAACCCAATCTACAAAAAATCCGCATACATAAACGAAAGTAAACTGGGTTTATGGATTGCCGGCACGGCTCCTCGAACATGGCAGTACACCGCTAGGAGAGCCTTCGTGCTTGGGATTGTCAACAAATTTATTTGCGCTTTTAACCCACTTGTTAAGTCTTAAAAAATTTGGAGTCAGCCGCCTAATTAACAGCCAATTAAAACTGATATTTCTGGCAGTGTTTACATCTTTCTTGCATGCACATTTGAGATACAAAAAAGACGGTTTCTTTGGCTCGGTCAACAACATCAACTGACAAAAAGGTTCATCGCAAAATTCCAGTGATTGACAACATGAGCATTTGTTGGCCGTGATACTTAAATTTAATTATCAAGTGGCTGTGTTGCTTAGAATTAATTCACTCAAAGCGTTTCAGATTTTTTGTTATTTACTTCGCTGATAGCTATAAAGACCACAAAAATCATCGGTAGTGTAATATTTTGTCAAATTACGCAAATTTCACATCTACTGCACTGCTTTATAGACTCTTTATTATATGATAGACGTCACAGAGTAGTTGTATGTATAAACGATTGTATACGTGGAATACAGCTTATTGCAAATATGCAGAGACCTGAAATTTTTACCATGAAAATCTAATGCAATATATGCTTACTCCTTACAATTAGAAGTTAGAAGTACACGAAATCGGCAACGCTAATTTCGCAGTACTGAATTAAAGTAACTCTTTAAGAGTTCAAAGATTAATTCGGGAAATCAGTTCATTTAATGTTGTATTTTCATGATGCTATCTTGTTCAAATAATTATGTTCGTTACCTTTAATTTTTTGTTTGCATTGCTAAACGGAATCTACATTTGGTATACATGTCTAACGATGTTATTCACAAATCTACAAAAACGCCGATTCCATTTCCTTGCACACTGGGCGTTGTATTACGATATCAGTATTCGATCCGTATGATAGATTCGGCATAATTGTGCTTCTTGTGATTTACAGCCACACTTTGAATTACAATAAACAACATACGCACTGGGTGAGTGGTTCAGAGTCTACCCAGATTTTGTTATGATTGTTCACACACCGAAGTGTGGCACCGTCCACGTAATAAAAAGGGTATTATTTCCGAAATGCCAGCTATCGATAGCGCGGAAAAGATTACCGTGCGTTGGTGACAAATACTGCTAGCCCAACGGCACAGCCAGGAAATGCCATCAGCACAGCGACAACGTTTTTATTTGGAGATCATAAAATATCACTTTCTGGATTTATCGCAGCTAGCTAATTCGTATAAGTAAAAAAATTATACAATGAAAATCTGTGTTTCCGGATAATGTATTAGTTTCTGACTTATTGAAATATGGCCGAGCAAGACGAGCAGAATTTGTTGAACATTCGTAGTCGTTCGGGAGATTCTTTTGGCAAGAGGTTACATCGGCTGAGTCTGCGGTAAGAAAGCCAAACCACTTTCGTTTGCAATAACTTTGTTAATAGAAGCGTAATCTCTATTAATTTTGCCTACATAGTCGGTATATAAAAGAACGAACTACGTGTTCTGGGAACAACTTTTGCTCTAGATTGGTTTTTACGTAAAACCTTATGAAAACTAGCGCAAAATGTCGTGCCTTTCTAAAACAATCATTTTCGCCAATCCCGTTATTCCAGTCATTTGGCATCCGGTCGACAGTGAAATATTAGCCTTTACCAACATTTACTCGCAGATCGCCCATTGATTGTTGACGTTATTAAAATTCGATTCTGTGAATGAAATGTTGCGTATGTGTGCGCGCGTTGCATCTGAGGATGTCATATCGTGTTATCGTAAACCGCTGCTAGGCATTTGCGCCGGGAAATGCGGAATTGCGTCTCGTGTTACCAATTTTCCATTTGGTTTTGGATTGCATAATCCTCTCTTAAGTTATTTAATCCTCTGGCTAAATCGGTTTATAAAAAGTTAAAACAAAAAGAAAAACTTGTTGATAGACAGTATTTTCACTTGTTCAGGAATTTTTTGCTTTGGACAATTTAAACAAAAAAGACAAATTAAAACAACGGTGTTCTACAATGATATAATAATAATTACATGTTTTGTGGATATGCAATATGCAGCAGTAATTTGTGATTCAAAATTGGATTTTTTAATCGGTTCTACTGCAAATAATCTGCATATGTAAACAAAAGAATATAAATGCATGTAAGTCTTCGCCAGCGCTCGGGAAATGATCTTAGAATGGTCGCGGTTAATTATACATTCTTGCATAAGACAGCTTAACGGTCATTACAATACTGGATTTGTCGTGCATTACATGCGCTATTTGTAGTGGACGACTGCGCGTTGTCTCGTTACTCTGCCAGCCAGTGTGCTGTGCCTGCGAAACGTAAATGTTTTGTTTCCTGTTGCGCAGTCTACAATAAGGAAGCGTTACAAACGTCTTACGTTACGCTATTTGACGTCACGGGCTGATCGGTATCCCGCTAGTGTTTATGTTGTGGTTGCCCTTCACTTGCCGCAATATATATACAATGCCCGGACTGTGTATACAAACACAAGAGGAGGATATCAGTCGTCTCCGTATAAGAAAACGTAATTAATTTGTGCTGGTTGTAAGTTGTCCTCCCTACGGTCATATACCGCCTTCCATCCCATCAGCTCCATTTAAATTTCGTAGATCACATTAACTTCCTGTTTTTCCCTGCGCCACACCAGGCCGATAACTATCAAAGATTCCAGTCACATTGGCTGTGCGTAGTTTATAGGGTAATTCAATTGTTCCTTCACTTGGCTTTACTACTTCTCCATGTTAATTGCATTGATCTGCACATGTGCCGTGCCGGTTCAATGCGGTTTATCTCATTCATGATTGTATTGTGATTGTTATCGGCATTCTGACACGTTTTTCCACATCTAAAAACGTACCGTTTTGTACTACTTAAATAATAATTTTTGTTGATTTTAAAAGATCAAAAATACAATGTCAGCGGTGACTTTTATCTTGAGATGTATCGCTTCAATCGAGTAAAAGCAAATTTCCATAAATGATTTTTTCTTGTTCTGAGGCTACCCTTGACCGATTACCGATGGGACGTTAATGCAATAAAAAAATTTCTCTTTATTCCTTGGAGATGTAGTCCATGAAAAGTTCGACTGACCGTTCTGAGGATAATTCAAAATTGACAAATGATTTTGATTTCATTTAACTGCCGCTGACTTTTGGGACTACCCTGGCGGTATTCCCTTGTATATATATGCGCGCCCCTTGTTGAAAACCGTTTATTCTCAAGATATTTCTGTCTTACTATATCTACCCAAAGCAGCATTTTCTTCTACCAGCGGCACGATTGCGGTGTGTGTAACTTTGTTGTACGTATACTGGAGGTGACCTGCACTTTAATTTGTTAGGTGTTTTGCGTTGCAAGCGCTGATCGCGTATACGTATATTATCATCGTCCTCCCCATTGAAATTTAAATTTTCCCTAGGTTAAACAATCTTGCCACCAAAAGTGAGGTTCATAATCACCATGGACGAAAGGGTCGAGAAGGATCTGGTGAAGTGACGAAATCGATTATACATCCGTCCCCGGGCGGCCTCACAGAAGGTAACTGCTCTTAATTTTTTAAAATGATTGAGTGAAACGGACTTTTGCGTGATATTGCACCTGTAAAGGCTTTTAGAAACGGTCATATTTATCGCACTATTGGCTTATCAAGTGCGGATATTTGTGTCAAAAAAATCTACATATGTGCCAATTTGTACACGACCTAGAAATTGTGGCTGTATATAATCCAGCAAAGTAGCATCGTTTTCAGAAAATTTGGATGAAATAATGAGCAAACGATAACGGCGTATAAATAATGCTAAAGCTGACCAACTGGTGTTTAGGTTTAGTTACATTTATGTCAAACGTCTTCCTGCTTCAAAACCATAGTTTTCACCGCATAGTTAATTACTTGACGATTCCCGGAAATGTGCGAATATTACGCTTATATACGTACGAGACCGTTGTCCTGGTAGTGTACAATAGTTCCAACTCCATGGAAATGATTCATACCGTATGATCCTTAAACTTCAACTTTGCTATTGCCGATTAGTCTTTTTGATTTAATGTATTACATTTAGCTGTTTCCTGAACATTGCCCAAAGTGCTGAAACTGGATTTGATTAGTTTTTAGGAATAACTTCAGTTCCTTTCTGTTGTTCCAGTGGTTTGGTTCAGAAGCCTGATTCAGTCCTGCCTTTACTTTCAGATCTATACCAGCGTCTGGTAATTTTTCAAAGAGACGCAAAGGGCTATGGACTAACTGTTTCCGGCGACAATCCAGTATTCGTTCAGTCAGTGAAAGAAGGTGAGGAGAATCGTCTGAAAAACAATAAAGTGCTTAAAAATAAAACCATTAATTTTTGGACTCACAAAACACTGCACTGTTAATATAATTAAGGTAACTTTATTTATACTTCGAGTACGTATTTCAGATGGGCCAGCGGCACTCGCCGGAGTCCAGAAAGGCGATCGTATAATAAAAGTATGGCAATTTTTGTGATTAGTTATGCAAACCATAATGGGCTTGTTTCAGTTGTTTCAATTGTTGCTTGTTATTTTCTACAGGTTAACGGTACTTTGGTTACGCAAAGCAATCACACCGAAGTCGTCAAATTAATAAAAGGTATGTTATCAGTCTTGCAGAACGGTATGCATTATCATGCATGAATTTAATCGAACAGTGCAGTTAATCGCATACGTCTATCTGTCCCTGAGTACACTCCCCAGTTCGATTCGTAGGCACGGCACATGATTTTTCAATTTTTGAACCATATTAAGTATACATACAAGTATTGTCACAATTACAGACCTGACTTCTTATTTTTTTAAGTTGCCATAAATTGTCAGCCAATGCAAAAGTAAAAAAGATTCCAGTTTCAGGGTTCTTATACAAAATACATATATCATAAAGCACATGATATGTGTATTAATTTGTTTGCACGAAGCCAGCTGTCTGGTTAATTGATTCGGTCCAGCTGTTACGGGTATATAACTTACCATAATATTATGGATGTTGGTCTGTACTCCTTTAATGTTTGTTTTTCTCTGTCGAAGAACAAGACCGCCAAGGTTATTTTTAGCATTACTAATTTTTAAATCCATAGAAATCTGCATTATACGCAAATCGAAGAGTAATGTGTACTGACTCGCGCGACGTTGTAACGAACGTGGTAAAAAAACGCCCCGGGGATGCAATAAATTTTGCATATCCATGTAATAAGCATTAGGGTGACCACGTGAACAGTTTTTTCGATAGGCATTAATAAAGATGCCTTGTATCCAATTAAAGCACTTCCTGGGTTGTCTTATTACCAGCAGTAAATTAAAATACCCGGCATTTTGCAATGAGATCGCGTACACTCGCAACCGAAAGCTCTCATCCATTTTGCTACAGTAGATTAAAGTTGAAGCAATCATTATATCAGCGTCTTTAAAATTAAATTATTCAGCGATATATGCGTTTATACGAATTATTAATTTTTCATTTACTGAATATTGCTTACGTTAGAACAGTCCTTTAAACAACGGGCATTAGACATTGCCCTTTGATTTATGACAATTTTAAAAGGCAGGCAAATTATTTAGTTGCACGCCATGTTTATCCAAAGCGACTGCTGCGAATAGCGTGGATATAATCGTTAAAACTTATTTGAACATACCAGGCGATCAAGTGTGGAAAGAAAGCGTTGCACACCTCCAACAAAACGGTTATTTGCTTGTTTAACAAGAAAGCAATTGTTTGATTGCACATTCTTTTAATATAAAAAGCAGTTAAGGTTAACACCGCATCGTTTAAGGCCGCGCTCGTAAAATGTTGCGTTAACGCCATTATACACACGCTCAGAACCAGCAGGTGGATATTCTGCACTCTTTTTACGGCTGCAACATTTTACACCAATCTAGCTAAACTGTTCTGTTATTTCCAGAGTGCACCACGATTACAATTATGTTTGACGAAATTGTGCAAAAGTCTATTAAACCTGTATTTTCCTCTTATGAGAGCAAAATAAGCGATTATGCTTACTTACGGGTATAATGAACGGCTTCACCTAGTTCATAATTATGCGGCAATACGGAATTGTAAATTACGCGATCTGCAGTGTATTATGGCAGTCATATTGTTGTTTTCCCATCGCTCATATGCCGCCGTTATTTTATACGGTTGATCCTGTCGAAAAATTGGATGGGCTAATTTTAGGAAGTACTAATTAAATTTGTTTATACACGGTTCATGCGGCTCGTTAGCGACAAACCGGCGACAGCCAGCTGCACCGTATGGATGTTTTCTAATTTTGGACATTTTGTTGATAACGTGGTTACCGTCGGGAATTGACTGATCTCGACAAAATGTCATCGCGCCAAAATTACTTTCGGTTTCGCAGCAGCTCCGCGCATGGTGCAAATAGTTGTGCTGCGCTGCGCAAAAGCTCATGGCTAACTTATGGTACGTAAGCAATTACCGGATTAACATATTCTTTCAAAAGTTATTTCTGAATATTTTTCAGTTAGTGCAAAAATTTGCCGGTTTACCAAATTACCATAAATCATTTCTGTATATGTAGTATTTAATGATCAGAACAAATCCAACCACCATGAAATATAGTACAACTCGTATATTGTATACGATAAAAATTTTCTCAATGGAATGGAAATGTATTGCGCTGTCGAGTTTTGACAATCACCTAACATCATTTATCTCAATAACACTGTGGAACTACTGGTCACTTGCGTAGTGAGTGTCGTTCTTTCTCGTGTTGACAATGAGTTTTGCAATCGTTTGAATATTCATCTTTTTTGTGTCAAATTCCTTCATATTCTCGGCGATGTTATTTGGACAGGCATCCTAAAAAATCTGTTGCGTTTGACGGGTATTATAAATTGGAGTTTGATGTTTGTACTGTAGTTTTCTACGCCGGCAGCTGATCATGTCGCCACTGTCAAGTGCCTAGTAATACATTCGTATACATAATGATATTATATTCTAAACGGTATATATCTGAATCTGTGTAGCGTAAAGCTGATATGACTATACAATTACAATTAATTAAAATCTAACAAAATATATATTTATTTTTTCTCGGTAGTATGCGTATAGTAACGGTTTCAAGCGATTTACAAAATTATGGTCTTTCTTAAACATTTTAGGCACGGCATTGCTCGGGGCTTTGAAATCTTAGTCAGTGCTGACATAAACAATTAATATGCCTCAGTGTTTTGCATGTTCGTCACACCAGCCGTTTCAGTATCACCTTGAATTTGCATAATACTCGTATAGTGTATTGTACATTATTCCGTGAGCAGTATACAATACAGCATTCTGTGTTCTTTGCAGCCGACCAGCTGGTTACCTTAACGCTACTGGGCAAATCGCCGACGAAGCCCATTAACCATCCGAACGCCGGCAGTATGAGTAATATCAACCGTCATGGTCGGCCGCCGCTCCCCAACCAAAACAGTCCCCCCACCATCACCGCGCCCTTACCGCCCAGCCAGGATAAGCAGCAAATGTACACCGATAATCGGCTGCAGACGATGAATCTGATGCGGGAAAAAGAAATGCAGAATATTGCTCAATTAACCACCGCCTTTTCCGCTAATCCCACCGATGAGAAACTCGGGAAGGATATTGAGGCGGCACTGAAGCGGGTGAAGCATCTCCAAGACCAGATGCTCATCCTGTCGGTAACGCGGGCGGGTGCCACCGGCGGCGGAGATGTGTCCGGCCCGACATCTTTCGCTGACCGCCCTTTGCCGCCCATCCCCACCGAGACGGTCAAGTCGCCTACCGAGACCGGTGGGGGGATCGGGAGGACATCGCGGAAGAATTCTGGTGGCTCGGGACATGTGCGTCAGTATTCCACACCGGAGCCGCTGCATATTGCCGGTGCCATGCTCAGCTGTCCGCCGGACTCGACGTTGCTAAATCGGTCAGCCAGCGATATGATACAGCCGCAAACGGATATGGATGTGGATGTCATACCCAAAAAACCAGCTGATTCTCGCTTTCGAGTGAGTTCAATATTTAACTGTGCAGAAACTAAACTCAAACGATAATTCCGGCGCGGACAGAAAGCAGCGAGGAGGAAATTCGCTAGCTGTCAGGAATGTGACAAAACGATTAATGATGTTATTTTTTTAAATTTATAATTTCGACGCTTTACTAAATTCGCAAGAAAAAGGATATAGTCGTAATTTCGCTTTTAAACCAGTCGTACATTAACACGTATGAAAGTGGCTGTATTGATCAACCGGCAGTGTAAACACTCCACCATACACACGAAATATTATATGAGTATTTTTTTTAAATATTATATGAGTATTCTGCATACTACGCAAGACTTTTAAAAAGTAACTTATGAGATCCCAAGCGATTTGATTAATAGTTTACTTAAACTGTAAAACGAAAAGCCCACGTGATTCATTGGCGTCGGGTTTAACAAGAGGTAAATTTTTACTTAAGTTAAGTAAGTCAGCGCATTCAACGGCTAACGTTATAAATAGTCTCTAAATTGCGTTTGCGTGCAACCCTCTGCTCGCACCTATTCAGGAATCTACAATGGTAATAAAACATAATGGAGAAAGCGACCGGGTAAGGTGCGATTAAAAATTTGCCGCGGGACATTAGCACTGTTGCAGATTACTGTTGGGTAAATTAAAATTGGTTCGTCTCGACTAGCGATCATAGCAGACCCACAACGTAAAGGCGACATATATTCTACTTATTACATCCTGCGAAACTGGCATTTCCATCAGATCCCAGAATAATGTTCTACGTTTCTTTTCCTAAACCTACCAAATCCTCATTGCAGACGTCGTCGTTCGGTGAGAAAATGTTTTCGCCGCCCAGTACACCGTTTGGCCAACAAAGCAATGTGGTGAGTGGAAATCAGAACGCAGTATTTTTGGTTCAAGAAACTGTAAGTACCTTTGTATATGTTAAAATTTTCTGAGCTGTCACAATTATTCGGTTGTGCAGTAAAAATAAAGTTTTGTTATTACATTATACTTATACGTGGTAAATTATTTTGAGCCAGATATTTTACAATTTTAAAGTGTTCCAAATATTTTTTCTAAATTTTACTTATTTTAAGTTTTGTACTGTAGGGTGATTGCCTTGTTTATCATAGAAGCACTAACAGATATACGAGTGCATACGTAAAGTATGATACATATACCACATAGAATATATATATACCACATAGAATATCCTGTTACTCCCTTTAGCTCCTTATACAACGAATTTTAGATTTTTTACCATTTTTTCAACGATATTGCTCTGTATCGCGATTAATGTCTGTGAATATTGCAGAATGGATCGTCCAACCGCGCTCATTCCGGCTTCCCCACTCTATCCAGCATCCCGCTGACCGTGTTCAATCGGCCGGCGCAAGTGGACGTTATGAGCATGGAAGACGCCAGTCTCGGTGCCTTACCCTCGCAACCGGCGCCCTTTCTGCAGTATTCCGCCCTCCAGCAGAATCTCCCGCATCTCTCCGTCTTCATGTTCTATCTGTGCACCAACAGTGAGCCGAATACATTACTCTTCCATCTCCTATCCGATGCCTACCTGAAAGGCACCAACACCAAAGACATGCAGCGCTGGGCCTATGAACTGCACTCCACATTCACCCTGCCCGATGCGCCGCTGGAGCTGGAGTTTGTCCGGAAAGTGCCGGCAATTTCCGGTAGTATCGAGGAGTTACTGAGTAAACCGGAATGGAAGGATGACGAGCCGTTGCGGGCTGTCTTTAATAATGCGCGCATCCGTGCTGGGGATGTTGTTAAGAGTCAGCTGGCGGAATTCCAGCAGAAACGCGCCCTGGGTATGGCGTTCGGGCCCAGTGAGGCGGAACTGCAGGAGGCGTCCACATCGGCTGACAGGACAGCGGAAATGATGGGCGCGGTCCTGGGACAGTGGCTGCAATACATTACGGATGCACAGCCGGAAGAGCCGGAAAACAGACTAGATAAGCAGGCGGCCACGGGCACGGCGCTGGCCACGTTTCTCAGGATCTCAGGTGGAAAGCTGGTTAAGGAGAAAGACGCTACTGTCTCGCTGCTGGACAAGTGGCCTCTTATGCTGCAGAAAGAAAAGCACAAGTACGTGCACATTATACTCCATCCACATTTTATAGGTTTTTTATTTCCGACAAAAAGTAATAATATCGTATACATTCTTACAATTTCCAAATTCCAATTTTTTATTGGTGAAGTTACAGTGGCATTCAAGAAAAGCGCTTTAATAACTCAATGAAGTACAGGATTTCCGCAGTTTCCAAATTCAACAGTTTTTTTGTTAAATGGCGAAGCAGCCGCATTCCAAAAAATATTCCAAAGATTTCTGCAGTGATTATTATACGAAAAATAACTTTTTAACTGTAGGTTTAAACCCAAAGAGAAAGCCAAAAAGTTATCGACACAGAACGGACATCAGTTCGAGCCGAAATCATTAACATCGACAGCATATTGCCAGCATTGTTCGCAGCTAATATGGGGCGCCAGTCCGCAGGGAAATGCCTGCGCAGCTTGCGGCGGCGTCTATCATCGCTGCTGTACGCGGCATGTCGATAAATTATGCAGCGGCAAATCATCCAGCCGATCCTTGCCTTTCCCCGATCTCAACTTCATTGGACGTAAACGCAGCAACCAAAGCCCAAGTGCCAGTAAGCAGTCTGGTTACAACAATTTTATTATTTTCGAAAATACCTTAAGCCAGTACGCACTTGCCGGGTTAATAGCCGGCATTCCCGTTGTATCTTGTCACGAAACTTTGATTTACTGGGCAAGCACATACAATGTGAGCACTACAGCATGGTTGCGTTTTGCAGTTGCTGCAGCCAAAAAACAGCACGACGATAAAATGGCCACGGAGGCCGCTGCGACGGCTGCGAGTAATACTTCTTCTGATCTCTTATCTGATGCACCTGACAGTGATAGACGACTTCCGGTCGGACAGCACCCGCCACTGGCAGCCGATCGATCGGCTAACCGAGACTCTTCAGCCACACCCGACCTCTCCGAGGCCTCGCGCTTATCTTCTTCCACTCAAATTACCCGCTCAGAGAGCCTGAAAACGCAGCAGAAACGCGTGGGAAAAACAGCCGGCAACCGCAAGAAATCCGATCCCTATCATTTGGACCGGGAAGCGGATGATGAGCGGAGCAGTATGGGCATATCGGAGAACTCCTCATCCACGCATTCATTACGGAGCAGCGAAAGTCCGAGGTGAGCGCATATATACTGTAAAGGTTATCGTCTGAATAAGCCGATGAAACCGAGCGTTTTATGTCGGTTTTATATCGTCCTATTTTATCGACAGATAAGTATCTTTTTTATCTGCGTGCAATATTTTTTCCCGATAACTGGGACTGTTAAAACTTCCGGAAATTTTACTGCAGACTAGAGTTCAGCGTGAATAACGGCATGCCGGCATTAGCGATCTGGTTACCTGCCATTCATTGTGTACTGTGTACTGCATATCCGTCGTATACAGACCACAGTATCTATATACAATTATGTTGCATTTATCCGGTGCACATATTGCATGCGCATCATCGTCATTCGTGATTTTCTGTTCATAATGGCATTGGTATACGCTCGTGTGCAGTATTGTTTTCTTACGATTAATTACACCGTTGACTCAGAGTATGATCGTGATGGTGGATTACTGTTTTTGTTTTTAAAATCTTGCGAAAACTTTCTTACGAAAAGTGCACGTTTAACTGATATCGTTTTTGGGCTGCTTAATTAATAAATCGATTGCGCTTAAAGGGATTCGATGGACAACGTGGGTGATTCCGATTTGGACGCCGATCCGAAGACCATTCCCGACTGGCAGCTGGACATTAAGGATTTCACTCTCCTGGAAGACTTAACCCCTAAAGAGCGCAAACGCCAAGACGTCATTAACGAGCTGTTCCACACGGAGCGCACGCATGTGCGCAATCTCAAAGTCCTGCACCAGGTCTTCTACCAGCCGATGCTGCGCGATCAGATCCTCCCGCCGGATATCCTGCATCTTATCTTCGCCAACTTGGAGGAGATGCTCAGCTTGCACAATGACATTAACCGCGCCATGCGCCGTCTGAAGAAGTCCACTGATTTAGTGGGGAATGTCGGTGATCTGCTCATTAGCTGCTTTGGACCGGCATCCATTCACAAGTTCAAGCTGGCGGCGGCTGCCTTCTGTCGTAATCAGCATTTCGGCCTGGAGGCGCTCAAGCAGCGCCAGAAGAAGGATGACCGGCTGGCGCAGTTTTTACAGGATGCGGAAAGGAATACGCTGTGTATGCGGCTCCAGTTGAAGGATATCATTCCCACCGGCATGCAACGCCTGACGAAATATCCACTTCTACTAGACCAGCTGCTCAAATATACTAAAGGTAGAACACTTTCTTTGTAGTAAGCTTGTGTGAGATATTAGAAAATAAAATTGGCGTACTGGTATATGTACCGGTATTATGTTGATAACTGATGAACGAGTACAGTAGTTATGTTAGTAACTTACAAAGTAGTACCAGTATCTATATTTATTCTTTCTTTAAAAATCGATTCAGCACTTTTGGTAATTATTACAATAGCCTCTAAATTGCATTCGTATCGTTGTTATTTAACTTATTTTGCTGTTACAGTAGTCTTTGCCAAACTCCATTAATGCAGAATTCTTACCCGGCTTATGGAGAACATTTTTGGTTAATTCTGAAAATCTTAAAAATTTTCCTCGAGTTTATGAAAAAAGTTGCTCATCTGGGAAGACGTTTTGTGTGAATATGTGTAGTGAAGTGGCAAGATTGTGTGACCCCGTAAACAGGCTCATACGTCTTATTAAAAAATGCCAGACGATACTCTTTAGCTTTATTTTTTATTTTTTGCAGATGACGATGAAGACGGAAAACAAGAACGAGCCAAAATCAACGTAGCTCTGAATAACTGCCGTGACGTGTTAGACTTCGTCAATCAAGCCGTTATGGAGAGCGACAACAGGAACCGACTGAAGGAAATACAAGATAAAATCGATACCGGTCCCTTCCGGAAAACTCTTAACAAGCTTGGTTTGGACCCTAAGGTACCTAACACAATGCCTGCGTTTTTTTAAATAGAACTGCACATATTCAGCAAGTAGATTGCGACAGGAAAAAATTACTTACATAAAAATTTCAACTTACTGTAACCATTTCAGTGCTTCAATTCTGCTTACTTACAGAGTTTCGACCTGATCCAGCACAAACTAATCCACTACGGCGAATTAACATGGCGTACGAGCAAACAGAAGAACATCGATCTCTTGGTTCTCCTTCTGGAACGACAGCTAGTGCTCATCACCAAACAAGACGACAAACTGGCCTTAAAATTCCACAGCAATCCCACGCTGACCGGCAGTGCTTTGGACAAGCGCTCCTCCGCTTCCGACAGCAGCCGCTACTGGTCTCCCATCATCAATCTGGAGAATATTCTCATCCGTGATGTCGCCACCGACAAGTGTGCTTTTTTGATGTTCGGTGCCGGTGAGTTCGTCAAAGTCGATCAGATGTACGAACTGGTGGCACCCACAGCTAACGAGCAGATCAAATGGAAGAAGAATATCCAGCTGGCACTGGAGGGCATGACGAAGCTGTACGAGAACATGGCCACTGTGATGCCGGAGACAGCCACGCCCAGTGTCCAGTCGGGTCCGGTGGCGCCCTCGCAGCCGGGTGAGACCGGCTCGCACCTGGCGCCGTCGACCGATGGGAATGAATATGCAGCGGAAGGAGAACGCGGTCCGCCGAGTGAAGGAGATGAAGCTGGTAGTAAGCCGGGTGAATCGGCGGAGCAGCCCACGGGGGCTAAAACAAAGAGACCCGCCAATCTACTATCGCCGTCGTTGATCGTGTTCACGGTTCCTGACATCCAAGATGCAATGACAGTTGTGACACCTTTTGGTAAGTTGTACGTTGCATGTTATTCTAAATTAATTAATCCATTTTCCAAACCTTAAGGTCGATTAAAAAAGACAATTTATATGCCGGTATGATTTATTAAAGACTTTAAATACATAATATGCTTTGAAATTCTATTTGGTGAACGCAGAGTAGGTATTAGTTTTTTTCCGATGAACTCATCGCTTAAAAAAAGAAAAAAACCGTACATTAGGGAAAACACATAGCAAATATCGACCCTACCCAGGACCCGGACTGCGCTCTGGTCTACCAGTGTTCGGTGCATTTTATTAGTAAAAATAAAAAGTCAAGCTTGAGGCATTGTGGTAATATGCTAATGTTACAGAGCAACTGAAACGTCGAGACCGTGAACTGGAAGAAGCTCTTTCATCCAAGATGCGATTAATATCCACGATACTGGGCGTGAATCCTGACAACATTGAAGAAGTCGCCAATAGAAATCCTGACTTCGAAGCCGATCCCCGGCAGCTCATTTCTTGGTCATCGCGCCAAGTTGCTCTCCTGGCCAAACTTCTGTCCGACGCCACCGCACTACACCACGAGCAGCTCCTCCTGCCACAAAAACACACCAGTCTCGCGGCGGAAGCCCACAATGGCCGGCGCGACTTCATCAGTCAGACCGACATCCAACCGCCGACAGTGGACGCTCATAAACTGGAGACCATAGCGCTCAATCTGAACCGATACATGACGGCTCTGATGAAAATTATCTGTCAGAGGGAAATGGAGAATCAACAACTGCGCAAAGATCTCGAGCACCAAAAGGAGCAACTGCGAATTCTACGAAGCGAAGCAAGGTCACCCGCCCATTCTCGCCCAAGCAGCTTCATTTCGGTGTCGTCAACGGGGTCGTTCCCAGCGGATTCTCTGGACGGGGACTCCGACCACACGACCCTTACGCTGTCCGATGATTATACCGGTAAATTTGACAATGACATTTTCGTCCATATATACGCTAATTAATCAAAATATTGCTAATTTTGATTTATGTTTCATGTGCGATTTTTGGTTTTGTGCGATTAGAATACAAATCCGATATATGCTGTGTACATAAACATAAGTCACTGATTTATTTCGAATCTCAGATCACAAATTTCGTGCAGAAGCAGTAAAAAATTTTTAGTATTTAAGAAATCGGTTATAGACGAGCATTCAAACAAGGTTACGGTTGCGGTTAGCTGGCCGTGGCGGCGTGGAATAGGTGCATGATTAGGCAATTGCATATTTTTTTCACGCAGGCCGAAAGGTTCATCTGATATCCTTTTAGGTCAAGCGTTGTCGGTACCGAACTCCATTCGCAGAATCCGTTCCTCTGAATAAATACAGAAAAAAATATCCTGGACGAAGCTGATTTGGAGCGACGAATAGGATAGATGACAAAAGCCGAACTGCTCAATGGACTTTCAATAAATGTGTTCCTGAAGTGAGCTTTATTATTGACTTTGATGCTGTAAATGTACACTGCAAAAGTTAAGGCTTTGTGATGCTGTTTCAAAGGTGCATTAGTAATACAGTGTGATAAGAGGGTACTAGTTCCGTGAGGCTCTTCGTCTAATGTTTACCGGTACGTTGTACAGTTTGATCCACTGGTTCCCGGTAAATTCTGGCGCTGCAAGCGTTTGGAAATTTAAAAGATTATTTAAAACGTGCATGGCTGATACGTGCTTTTTGTTTATAAAACAAGGAAATTCATTATTAAAACTGTAATTCACTATGACTGTAGCATGTGCGATATTATCCTAAGTTCCAGACTATAATTCCAAACTATAGTTCATAACTTATTGTCGAAGAGGCAGTTGAAAACCTGAAAAATCTCTTTGCACAAGTCAATATTTACAGAATTATACAAAAAACAGCATTCAAAGGCAACATTTTCAAAATTGTGCACGTTAAAAATTTGCGGTAGTAAAGTTTAACAAAGATAAGCAGCATTCCGTTGCAACGCGGTAGATTTGCCGCTCCGTAAAATTACGATTTTGTTACTGAGCCTATTGGCGAAGTAAACTGCCAGTTTCTAACAACATATGAGGAACCCACTACGCCATTTTATGTTTCCATAGGGCGGCTTCTTTTACGTAATACATATAAATGGATTTAAGAGACGTGAACGTTGGTTACCAGAGCGCAAGCGTTTTGCAGCCGACAAGCACAGCACGGTGACCTATGGACTTTTCCCGTCTATTAGAACATGGCAATGGTGGTTAAAAGTTTGCATTATGTCAAAAGTCAAATAAGGTATGAAAGGCAAAAGATGAGTCAGAAGGAACAAATTATTACATACCATCCGTTACTTTATGACTGTTATAACATTTTATATAGCTGTACTTGCCATAAAAATACCCAAGTGAACACGAATCGAAACCAGAATTAGTTGTAATTACGATACTGCAGGTGTATCCTCAGTGCCGTTTATACGAAGGATTAAAATAGAGCTAGAATGATACAGGAAATTTTAAACCAAGGATGTTATACTTACATTGAAACTCCGCATAAATGGAATTCCTCGTATTGCGGTGGTGTTCGCTGGACAAGAATGACTTGGAGGAGTGGAATCTCACTTTCAGAGTTGCGTCAAAGTGACAAGGGAAACCACTACCTCCCAGTCACCCTTCACTCCAGGCTGCTAAGGAGCGATGACCTTTACCGCCATTGCGGCATAAACGCAACTCGCGTCCATCCCAACAATAATCATTCAGCCACGGAATCACTGGAGCCAGAGTGAGCTGGAAGAGGTAGATCTGGCAACAGTAATAAGGAATCGAAGCGGCATCTTCGAGACATTCCTCTGTGTCAAGCCTAGCTTTCCAACTCACTTTGAAGCTCCGTGTGTGTATGCAGGAACAATCAACCGGCCGTTTAAACCGCTCGAAACTGTCGCCGTAAACTGCAATTAAATACCGGCTAAAATGGACAAGTAGCGATAACAAAGCCATAATTATTGTGTTATACAGCAGCGACTTACAAGTGCGCACAAGTTGTGTCGATTAACTCAGCGGCAAAAATGAAACTTCCGATAGGGGAATTTATAGCGTCGACCGGAGCAGCGTAAACTGAGGTCCGGTGACTACAAAATGTACACAGTAACCGATACGGAGTCTAACAGGTTAAGTGGATATAAATTTTGTTGGACACGATCCCTGTGTATTAAAACTGTGAAGGGGTCGATTTATCATTCTGCGCGATAGTGAAAGGTACTCTAATTGCTGGAGAATGGAAAATGATAAGACTGGGTAAACTGAGAGTGGCTGGCTCGGTACACACGGATGCGCCTAAGTAAAATATTTAGATTCCGACCGCGGAACACACTGCACTGCTCGAGGTTAAAATGGAGAGCCAACCAAATTTGGTTGGCTGCGTGTCGACGTGGCTAGAAATGGCGTCTCATAACTGTGACTGCAGAGCGAAACAGAGAAAGAGAGAAATTATAGGCATACAGAAAACACACACTGCGGCTGCGGCGCTCGTACAGCCGGCTTAAAAATCCTCCAGTCATGTTCCGCGAAATCTGCGAAGACCTTTTTCTCTTGCGATCAGTATCGCCGCAACTGGTATAATCAGCTGCATCAATTGGGCGGAAACCGTGCTCAAACGATACAGTCTTAAAAACGAATGTACAGTTTGTACCAGACAACAGACCGGCGTGACAAATTCTTTGCATGCGTGTGCCTTCCGTTGACGTAGTTAACAGTAATCTGCGTTAAAATAAATTTGAAAAATGAAGGTTTGAAATTAAGTGCGTTTGTGATGCTTGGCAAAACACTAGATTTTTGAATAATCCATCTGTAGTCATCTTTTGTTTGGATAAAAGATATCTCAAGCTAGTATCAAAGGTCGTCAAAAGCGACTTGTGCTATAGATTGTTTAGGCAGTAAAACTGCGAATTTTTTGTGCGGCCTTTCTTGCATGTTGTTTCTTCATGTAGCTCTGATAATTCACTGAAACGCCCATTAACTTATTTAACGGCCGGTTCAGAAAGCTAAAGAAATTTCAAAATCAGTGAATATGATTACGTAATCCTCTAGGTTATCATTTTAGTTACTTCAGTTTTGTATATTTAAACTTGCGAATTACTGTTGCACATAAATCGGAAGAAAGAGTGTCTTACAATTAGCTAAAATGTCTGAAACCTTATGTATCCTGAGCTATTTTTATACGTTTCCAGACAATGTATATATGCATCGGTAATGAAAGATAAGCGGCATGTCGCGATAAGGTCTAACCAGCCATCGGCTAATACAAACAGGAATTATCAAACTGCAATCATCTGCCGAACAAGTGGTATCACGCGGTAATGCTCAGCTAATTCCGCAGCATAACATATTAATTTACCAGCGGTATGCAACAATTAGCTTGTTTTACCCCAGAAAATGCAAGTATCGTCAAAGTAAATGCTGCGCACCCCTATCGCAATCTATACATATATGGACTCGCGCCAGGCGGCAGGACAAACGTGTGTTTAGCGATAGGCCGAACTGGATCAACAAAGTTGTCTTCCAAGTTGAACGATTAAAAGGTCATTGCGAAGTGCTGTGCACATAAAAAGTGATTGTGCAATCGCCAGCGCTGCGGCGATACTATTAAATGTTTGATGAGATCCATACCCAAAGTCCCAAACTATTACTGTACTGTCGGATGTATTTCACATTTATAAACTGCCGATTCATGCGATAGAACTTTTTCATTTGAAAAACGGTTCATGGATCCCCAACTTAAAATGCCACCGAGCTTCGGTTAGAAGCACTTAATGACACCTGCTTGTTTATTAATGTCCCAAACATTTAAGTACTTTGATCGATACACATTAATTGAATAAATAATCTTGAAAATAAGAAAATTAAAGGTTGCAATTAGATCTGAAATCCATCACAAATAAAAATCTCAATATCTCATTCCTTTGATAACACTTCATGATAAATTTACTGACTCAACATACAATAACGACCATTCCAATTCTAACAACAAGAAAAATTAAAAAAGGAAAGGAGACTACTAAATGAAAACAAAACTACAAAATGGATGATGTGGTAAAAATGGGATTTCGTGAAAATCGTCGGCAACAATCCGGAGTTATTAACTTCTGGTGGTCCTTGTTTCTCGTCCACTTTGGCGTACGTTTTGGCCAATGGTATTCTGTAGAGTAACTAATTATTTACAGTTAAAAAATTATTATCTCATTTAAACATCATTTAAAAATATCAGAAAAACACTTAACGGCGCACTACTGCGAGTAGACTAACAAATTTATATTTATACTGATGTAAATGTAATGCACAATATATACGTTCTCAAATTATTATGTTATCTTAATGTACGTAGGTACACGCAAGTATCATTTGTAGCGGCTTTTCTACCTTTCTCCTTTGCAACGAGTCCGGAGTGTGCAGCTCTTTATTGACTTCCGGATTGGACAATTTGCCGACCGCTTTTGTTCTTAGCACTTTCTTGAAGCGTGTTTCGAAGCTGTTGGCTGCCGATATTTCCCGCGTGGGCACTCGCAGATCCACCACATTCTGCTCATCGACATCATGCTTAACGCTGAGCGCAGTGGGATACGTGTGTTTCGGCGACACTGTCAGCTTGATACCCGGCTTCTGCCAGTCAAAGAAGCGTTCGTTGTCGTTGACGGATGTCTTCAAGATGGTCTTGAGCAGTCCACGAAAGTATCCATAGTCCGGGAACTGGTTAAATTCTAACTGGCGTGCGGCCTGAAGATATTCGCGCATCTGCGGAGCAATGCCGTTGCATAGTTCTTTTAAGGATGTATTCATTTTCTTATTGGCAATCATGGCGATTTTCGTGTCGGTACTGGCTGCCGGCATACCTTGCCATGGAAGTCGGCCCAAAACGAAATACACCAGTAAATACCCGACTGATTCCACGTCGTCGCGGTACGTCGAAGCCCGACCGGCATGCGTTGCTAAACTCATGTATCTGAAAAGGCAAAAAACAAAACTAAATAAATACAAATTAAATACTGTAAATGCATGTTAATTCTCCAGAAACCATTGGAGCTAATGCAGTAGAAAGCAAAGAATTGCGAGAAAACCCGAGAGTTATACAGGTGAGCCAGTTTACGAGAAAATAAATTGTATTATTCTTAGCGCCAAAAATTATTGTAGCGTGTGGACCTCTTACATGTACAGAACGCTAAATTTGTATTACTTAGTACATTGTATAGGTGCAATACCTAATTTTAATTTAACGATTTACCGTCTATGGTACTCGTACTGTATTCTGTAGCTGTGCAGCGCGATTATTAAATTAGAGCAAGATACCGTAATCCGAAGGTGTACAATACGCGTAACTCTAGCTATTGTGAAGTATGCACGCGTGGAAAAAGCATAAAAAATATTATAGGATTAGGATTTTACATGTTTACAGCTGCTGAGTTTTTAATTTTTTATTTTATTTGAAAATATATTCACTGCTATAGCTCAACGTTGGTTTTTATCGTACCGCGGGGTTCCAACAGGAGTATACCCTTGGCCATCTTCCTTAAATGCGTGACGACATAAACCAAAATCCACAATATGTATCCGATTATGATGGTCATACAGCCCAATAAGCAAATTTTCCCCCTTCACGTCCCGATACAAAATATTCCGTGAATGCAGAAACTCCAATCGATCCATCAGCTGCAGTCCAATCAACGCCATCGTCTTCTTACTGAACGTCCCTCCCACCCTGGTCAAAAGGTCATCCAGTGTGGGTCCCAACATATCCAGCACTATCACATTACTGGCGTCCACCTCGCAGTAGTAGTGCACTTTGGGGAATCCACCCGCACCCCGAATCTCCTGGAGGATATTAAATTCATCCGCCAAGCGGCACTTCCGACCCGGCCGACGCTGCTCAATCTTGGCCACTACAAAATGTTTGGGACGTCCCGAATTACACAGGCGTATCGTTCCAAAACTGCCCTTGCCAATAATATGCCCGATTAGGTACATGTGGCCGATAAATGCTCCCAAAAGGTCATCTTTTGTATTTTCATCGGACGCCACGGATTGTGTGCAGCCCCCCAGGGGCGGCCCATGCACCTGACAGGCACTGCGTCCCGTGACGCGTGAACACGGAAGCGGTGCGGAAGGGGAGAGCAGCATTGTAGGAGAGTCAGCCGCCGGAAGTGCCATCTCCCGGACGGCGACCGGGAGGCAGTCTCAGCTAGGATGACATCCTCCGCCGCCGCAGCGTACTTCGCTCCTTATCAGAAATTTGGCCATATTCAGTTGGGAGGAGGACCAAGATTTCGGTACGGATGACAACGACATTTTCGCCTAGGCATTCTACATATACTTTGATTTCATCGCAGAGCCAACACTCAGATTCCGTGGAATTCCGTACTTCTCCCAGACGTCGGACTACTCCATAGCAACAATAGGCAATTATGTATTATTATTAGTTAGGCCAAAATGTCTGAGTCTAGACAGTGGGGATAAGCTGTGAAAAAAAATAAAAGCGATAGTACGCGTAAATTTACTTACCATAAGCTGTACTCGTATACTTATTGTACTGTAATTAAATTTTAGTAGTAAAGTACTTGTACTTACTTAACACGGTGACTTATACACAATAATAATTATTATATTAACCGCTTGAATACACATACAGATACGCCGAAAAAAATTGATTCTCCGCAAATGAAAGTACTTAATGCTCTAGCAAAGACCAACGTACAGATATAACCGCTTACTAAAACTTTTACGTACTCAGTGATTACCATGTTAGCCCGTTCGATCGTCAGGTAAAACGTATCAGTTTCTACTTAACATGCGCAGAAACACTCATAATCAATAATAATTAAATGCCATAAGTCTATTTACAGATACAATAACATGAAAAGCCGGTGCACAGATACATAGCTTGGCGCTTCAAAGAAAATTCGACGATTGTGATCTTTTTATGAAAGATAGTCTGCGGACCACTCGTGGCCGATTTTATCTGATAATTGCAGTCAACATTTGCTGAGTTATGTTTAGAACAGCAGAATAACATAATGTGTTGCGACTTCTTATGAGTTTGTGTGTAAAGCGGAAACGCAGTGCAACAAAACTCTTGACAATTCACTGAAGTGGCACAATTTTATACCAGCTGCCGACAAATCTCAGTTTGTGAACAAAATGGTCTTATAATGCTGAAAAAATAAGACTGATTAGAAATTATATGCTCAAAAATGTTTTTCTACTGGTTCTGTGAAAGAGAGCAGCAGAGCAGTATATACTTTGTACTTTGTCGGAACATCGTAAAAATTGTCAATAGAGTTATGGCTTCGCTTTTCGGCTATGGCGGCTATGCTGAAACCATGAATTCCCGTTTCGCGAATTAAACAAAAACTACTGAGTTCGTAATGAATGCTTAATTGTCTGATTCCATAAGTCTGTCGTTGCTAGGTCTGATTTACCATAGCAGAGATATCACGTACGATCGTACTCGTACGTTTTCCTTATAACAAATTCTCATAATAATTTTATTAAGTATTAACTGATACTTACTTTAGGGTTATTTGTATGGACCTGTAGCCGTTGAGAAGATTTTGTGTAGTAGTATTGTTAGTAATTGTGAAGTAAACGAGTGCTGTGCAAGAGTTGTCTCGTTTTCCATTTAATCAAGACTCATCGATTATTTTTTGGACAACGTCGGGTCGCAGGTTTCTCGGTGAGCCCAACAGAACGGAAAGCGGAAAAGTTTTTTTATGTAGCAGATTTTGAATCAATTTTGATGTATTACCTGTTCCAAGGGTGCTTTTCATGGTTTTTTTCTACGTATTTGTACTTGTAGGTAACCTAGTCCTATTGTATCAAATAAAAAAACGTTTATTCTTGTGAAAGACACGCGGCATATTATAAATGTGTATATGGTACAAAAAGAAGTACGGGTACCAAAATGGAACAAACCAGAAAAACAAAAACGCCTGTATTGGAAACTTTCATAAACAAATTATACTTACATCAGCTATATAAGTATCACAAATTCAGAAACAAAGGTCAACAATGGATGGATAAATACGGCAAACCTGGAAATCAACACAATAACTATGACACTGTCCTTTACGTATCCAAGCAGCATGAAGCCCGTATCTTGGTGCACCGCGTTGGAAAATCTTTTTACCGGGATCGCTGTTGCGCTAACTATCCATCGGCAATCACGATGTCGGCATTGGTCTGTTTGCTATGTAATACTGTCTGCCAGAAGCGTTTCCGGAGCTGTGATTTTCACTCCTGTTGATTGCTTGGCGTGGCTAATATCCACTGTGAACCGTCAGGATCCGTCACTGCCCGCTCTCCATTCTTATAAGCAAAAAGCCAAAAACGTATTAGATAAAATTAATAAGTATGTAAGTCTTGTCCAAAGCTGCAATTAACCTGTGATAATACTCCAACATTGTATTTTAGTGCGCACTAGTCTATTTTATACAGTAAAATATGTACTACAGAGAGATACGAGAGCTGTATATGATATGAGAGCTGATTTTGGCGCATACCGATATTAATGGGTTTTCCTAAATATGATCTATAGCTACGAAAACATAAACTACGAAATAACATTACATAGGCACATACTACAGAGTACTAGGGTAACTACAGTATAATATATAGTTACCCGAGTAGTATGTGCCTATGTAATGTTGTTTCGTAGTTTATGCGTCAAATTTTCTGTTTTGGTTTTTTTTTGGGTAAAAGTATTCGTATACTATATAAAAATTTGCGTACACTGGTTTATTGATACGTTTTTATTATTTTCTTAAAGTTTTTAAAAACAAGGCTATTGAGTCTTTTCTTTTGTAATTGGAAAGCACACAAACGCATTTGCAATTTGCAATCATTACGGCCAAATCAGCAAGCGCGTCTGGATTTTCTACTTAATGTGTCAATCGATTTCCTGTACTCAGCAAAAAAATACGGTCGTCCTATAATCCAGGCGCTAGGCCAGTATGCACAATTAATTATCCAATTGATCGCTGTGTGTCAAATTTCTTCACACGCACAATGATTCGCGTGTGTCATCTTTCTGTTCTGTTCTATAGTGAATCTTTCCCGCTGGGAGTCGGGGAGTAATAATCGCACATGGCGCTACGTATGTTACGAGCATGGATACCTCGTTAAATCTGACGCTTTTCTTTTTTCCAAAAAATGTCCGCCCTTCCCTGGCCGTACGGTAATTAGGGAAGAAACCGTAGCCGCGTTTCTGTATCCGTCGCAGATTACGGCATATAAGTAGAAACGTGGCCAGAAATAAAAATCCCAGAACGAAGTACAATACCGCATCCATCGTTCGCAAGACAAAAAGCAGGAAATATTCCTCTTTCGTGGCCAGCATGATACCGCTGACGTCGTGTTCATGGCGCTTTTCATATAAATCAGTAACATCATTGACACTCCGCGTGCTGTTATGATAGGCGTAATAGTTTGACCGGGCGCAATTCAGGGATAACATCAGCATGGCAAATATTTCTGCTCCAGATACCAGTGTAAACGATATGCCCAACAGTAGCATACAGTGCCGCGCTCGGGCCGTCACTAATTCCAGCTTGGTCAGAAATCCCCACAATCCAGTAAACATGGTATTTAAGGCGATTAATATACCCGCAGCTTCTAATGCGTATGGACGGTGAAGTTCATACCGAAATGTGAAACCTAACACAAACACAATCACGGTAAGTAATACCCATGCCTCGGTACGTGTATATGCATCAAACATTCAAATGTCCTTATAATCTCCGTATACTGTATACGAATAGAAACATTTTTACAATAATATTATATGCATACAACTTTATAAGTAGTACTCGTAACATAAAATATATAAGCATTTACTTGTTATTAACAAAAACAATTAAAAGTGTCTTTCTCATATCGGAAAAATGCAGTACTTTCTTAACTGTTTCTTACATGTCCTTGATTTCAGTTACGATATATTACGGTTTAAGTTGTGTTCTCATTACTACTGCATGTAGATTGTTGTTCATGCAGATTTTGTGCAATAAAGTTGTTTGTACAATAATATAATCTGACGGCAGAAATCTATAAGCAGTAATAATAAAATTAATTATACGAGCTACTGGTGTATTGTACGTCCGGACTGCGCATTAACGGTACGTTTTCAGAAAAAAAGGCTGAACAATAAATTATTTCTCATTTTAATTTATAGCGAAGATTCGAGTGATTATGTTTCATTTTAATATTATGCATTTACTTATTGCAGAAGTGTACATTAACTAACAATGTACAAAACTAATTCATTATTAAGAAGGCAAATTGTAAAGTGTTTGAGCTGGAGTTAGTCGGGTTTGCACTTGATATTCCAGATTGTTTAAAAAATTAGCGGCATTTTTACTTGGATAATTGGGACAAATTTTTCCTTTCAGGTATCGATTTTGTGTTCTCAAATTCTCAGCCGGTAAATGTCAAGAGCGATATTGCTACAAAAGTATCAAATGCTACACCGACGATATTGCCTAAGGCATAAATTCACTCCTTGCAGAATGAAAAGGTTGACGCTGCGTAAAACAATGCGATAACCTTGCCAGGAAAGCATTTTGTAATCGTATTGTGTATGCCAGACAAACTACCCACATTTGCAATTTTGTAGTATCGAAGCACATGTGCAGGTGATCGGACCTCGAGGTACCGACTTTGATACAATCAATTGCGTTCAAGCTTCAGCCAGTCCGTATTAATAAATTAGCAAATAATTCCAGCATTCTTTCGGAATGCTTTGCGGTTTCAAAGCAGCGCAACAGATTCCAGTCAAAAGTTTCCGCCGTTAAATCAATATCAAACCATTTCAGTATGAAAAATAATAATTATCGAAATCTAATGTCAATTAACCGAAAATGGGTTTATTCATCACTAATACTTATTAATTAATACTCATAAAATATTTGAAAGGCTCCGTCAATCTGCTCATTGTCTGGTTCGTCATTAATAATATGTTCTCCGTTATTCGTAAATTTGATTTGCAAGCATCGTAGGCTGGTGTTTCAGGGAATGTAAGCCACATAAACGCACATTACTTTACTTAATTGAGGAGTGGCAGGTTGCCATAATTGTCAAATGCTGCTTTAGGGCATGAGTAATATTTGTGGACATATCGCGTCAACAATACATTGAACGGCCAACAGGCCGACATAATGCCGTCTGATTCACATCGATTACTGCAAAAAATATGGAATTCCCATCTGGTTGATCCAGAGAGGGCGGAAGAAAATGAGCTGTCATGACACCGGAACGACTATTTTCTGTTAATAAAAAATTCTCAGCAGGGCTTTGGAAGTCGCTAAGCGGGAGAATCTTTGCTCTTAGCGGCACTCTATATATGTCACCATCATGCTTAAAGAAGGGGAAATATTGATTAGGCACAGTGAGTAACCTTGACCTTCTGCTTAATTTGCACGGCGCTCACGAGCCGCCATCCAGAGTTAAAAGAATTTCCGGATGCGCAGCGGCACGATTAGACTGGAAGTTGGTGTGCATTCTTTGTTAATGTCCCTCGTGCACAGGACCAGTAAATGAGCGGCTTAATGCAAATAAAACATTTTCCCAGCATACGCAAATGCGACATACCACAGAGGCGAACCGCAGGGACAACGAACCGTAAAAAGTGTGCCAGTGTATGACCAAGCTGCTGCTCGTAATTAAGAGAATGATGAATTATGTTGGAGAAAATACTGATTGAATTTTGTGGTGGGTTTGTATGAGGTGCCGAACAAAATGTTAACATAATCTTTCGTTATTGGAACTACTTTACCTACAATCTACAAATACGCGCAATTTTTGATCACGTTATTTGGATTTTGGATTTTCGTTAACTAACGAGAAGAATCGGATTTGTTGTACACCCTATACGCTTCTCTGTTGGTCATACTGCGATCGCAATTCTCTCAAGGATTTAAGCGAATAAATAAACTAAAATCAACTGGAACAGTTGTAATGTGTGGATCGATTTCATTAATTCAATTCAAGACAAATACGGATTGTGTAAGTTCATGTAATCTGCCAAACCTGTTTGGACAGTCATCTGTTTACAAACTGATTAGCGTGCAGCTTTTTGTTAAAAGTAATTAAGCTCGAATTAATTTTTATCCTCTATAAAACTTTATTAGCTATAGCTAGCGGTTATGATTGGTGTAACCGACAATACCAGTTGGACATTTTTATTTGAACATACCGGCAATTTCCGTGCATAAGCAGGTTAATCCAAGAACAGCTTCAAGAAGTCCCAATATTCCCAGTGCTTTCAGACAAGCAAAAAGGTCGAATTCCTGCGACGGTGTGGACAGAATTCCATTGGAGCGTGCATTACGATCCATTTTTGGGAGTAAGGAATTGATGATCGCACCACAACGTCGCAGCACGTCAATCGTCAACTACGGCCAACAATGCGCTAATTCTCAAGTACAGACCGATGGTTTATTATGTCATTTGATGCGCTCTTGCTCCGAGCACACTTGTGCCATAGGGGTTACCTTATGGAATACAGATACTGCTCTTAAGCGTCAAAAGGGAAAAAAACTGTCTTGAGTAAAAACCGCACTTGTTTGTAACTTACACACTCCAGCAGCCAGTGGAAATATTGCCGTGGTGATCGAATAAGCGGCGGCATATCAGTTACGCCACTTAAGCATCGATCAACGGGTTTACGGTTTTATGCTTCTTCGATATATGGACGCCCGGTATAATACAGCAGCCCGCATATATCGCGCGCGGGCCGTGCAAACAGTTGTCCTACCGGCATGCGATCGGTCGCACCGCGCGCGCACTCGCTTCACGGCAGCATAATTCGCAATAGAAAAACGGATGCATAAAAAACGTGATTTATCGTTTGCTGACCAAAGTTTACTTTATGTCGCTTGAAAACCTTCCAAATAAATATTCCGACATTTGAGTGCCCCGTAATGCGCCTTCGCCGTTCGCACTTCCCTCCAACAACAGCCTGTGCCGAGCCGATTAAAGCTGATAAGCGCGCTATGGCCATTTAAGCGTTTTCATCGGGAGATCGCGTCGGCAGTTAAGCGGCGATCATTAAAATGCTGTGCATTTCCGGTCAGTATTAATGAAAATCTGATCTACTCATCCCAGTTTTATTCATCGGCTGCGTTAACGTCACGATTAGCTGAACGAACATGACGTTTCATTGATTAATTAATGCAAACCAGCCAATTTCACATTCACGTATCGCAGCCGAAAATAAATAGCATTAAAAAACTGATACCCGGCAACGAAGATACTACTCGTAGGTTTTCGCCAAAACTGCAAATACTAATGTACAGAAAGGGAAGACCAACAAATTTTTACATGTCAAACCGAATGGATATCATGACATTTTTGACAGCTTCAATGGACCAGTTTGCAGAAGGCTATGATATGCCGCGCGGAAGTATTCAGAAATGTGTACATGGACCTGCCAAGATTAACAATACAGTAACTGCAGCACGTCACTCGATCCAGCCCAGTGAACTGCTGCATAACCCGGAAGCCGGCACTGACAGGAAGCCAGATTTTTTATGTTTAGAGGGATGTTTCGGTACCCAGTTTAATTTCACAGTAATCAAATGCACTTGGCGGATCAGCAAAAAATTGCTTTTACTATGCTTGCAAAAATCATCGCCGAAGCGCAGTGTAGCTTTTTAAAAACTTTGTCGCTGCACTGCTAATATAACTGATTGTGAGCTTGTACGGTTATTCATCTGGCCATTCGGCCACATCAGATTTTGCAAGTTAGAGATATTTCAACAAAGTTTGTGCAGGCGTACATAATAATAATTTAATAGACTTGTTAATTGGTGTGGCACTTATGTACGTATCATTTAGCTTATCAGTCACCTCAAAATCATATCAACGCCTGCGTAATCCTCGTACTCATATGAATCGATAGCGTGAATGTTTCGATACAAAATCAATTATTTGCAAGTGATCTGTTACAGCTCGAGTGGTTATCGTAACCTGATCGCGCTCGTGCTTTTTGTCCGATTATTTCTGTTGGTCAAGCAACCGAAGCGGTTGCATCTTCGAAAGGTTTCTGAGATATTTCCTGTCTTATAGCCGTTTACTTATTGTTAGCTATAAAGCACTATGCCATGTACTATGCACAGAGTTAAAAAAAATTAATTGCGCGGAAAACTTATCCAAACCATAGAATATAACTGACAACGCAAATTATTGCATCACAAAATATTTGCGCTCAATGCCTCTAAATCAAAGAAAGGTTCTAGCGGTTTGATATTGAACATTGCGTTTTGCGTTTTTTGATTGGTCGAAGCTGGTGTATGCGGTGTATACTGGTATTTAATAAATCTCGGTTTACTACATATTCGAAAACAATTAATACTAAATAAATAAGCAGTTCAGTTTGCGGAAGCGCTTCCATTCTTACACCTAAAGATACTTCTCTTGATCAGTCCCAGTGAGCAGTTCCTGAAGTTGTTGCCGGTTGTATGCATTCCGTTATTCAAGATTTGACGTATACAGAGTATTTTCTTGAAAACTAATGCTCGCTTTGTTTCGTCAGCAAGGGTAAAGCATATACGATTTATGTATTTTCCGTACTCGTACTGTATTTTTTTATACCGCTATTGCTTGCATCCAAGCAATTGTTTTGGTTCCGGTCAAGCAAAACATACCTCAGGTTTCGTGGCATTAACTGACAGTTTTTGTCGGTAACACAGTCGATTTATTAGCCGACCTATTATGCTACAGATACATCGCGTATTTAAGGCATGTTTTAAAAAACAATATTAGTTTTATATGCAGTTTGCGCAATGTGGCAGTTGCAGAAGGTCCGATCTTCTTAGATATTTTTTTATCCTAATTGACACCGGCATTCCCACAAAAAGCAACTAGCTATGTTTGGTTTTGAAAATTTTTAATTAAACCGAAACGTATATATACATATGTAATATCGTCGTTCGCTCTTTCGACCATTCCGTAAGTTTATCGCGGGTAATGGGAATATCACCGGATGCCAGCGTGCTAAGTAAGCAGCACACCGGAAAGACGTGAACTTAAATTTATTTGGCCGGAAGGAATCCAAATTATCAAATGTCACTTGATAACAGGATTTTTGTCTCCTTGGGAAGCCAGCAGATTTGTTGTGGGGTGTCGATGCTGCTGATCGCCGTTGCCTCCTTGAGTGCCGCCGTCAGCTCCAGCTCCCGTAAGCTGAGTCCGTGCGCCAGTATTTTTGCTCTGGTTTTCTGTTGCGTCTCATTTCTAAATGCAGTCGCACTAATCGCGGGCTGTGTCGTAATGTTGCAAGCTCTGGCCGAGATTCCAGCTGGGTCCAACAACCATGGTTCCGCGGACATGGAGAACAACTTTGGAGACATTATTTTCTTTTATGCTAGATCCACCGCTAGCACCTTCCTCACGTTCGGCTTAATGATGCTAATTACCAACATACATGTAGTTTTGGCTGTAGTTATCGGGAAGTCGGTGTACCGGTCGAAATTCAGTTAACGACAGCCGCAGCAGTGACTGTGAGCAAGCATCAGCATTGCAAAAGGACACAAGTATATGGACAATCCCTGCTCGGAATCTGGCTTCCGTTGGTTAAGATCAACGACAGCGACTGCTCGTGGAACAACAGGTGTGACGTGTGGGAGTAGGATCACACGCCGGATGTACGTACGGATGCTGACTGTCCGCCTTCCACCTGCAACATAACCGATAATCTAGTCAATCTCTTCTGTGATTTGCTGTTCTCTTTTACTAGCGGTGTATATGATGTCATAACTCGAAGTCTATATAAGTTCTTGTTACTTCTAATATCGGAATCAGTAGTCTGAGATTTACTTCTGAGACTGCTTCTAATTACAATTTCCTAGCGTTGTGAACTGTGATGTGAATTGGATAAAGAGACAGCAATACTTGTTCCTACTGAAGTGCATAGTTGTTCCCGGATTATCGCTTAGTATACAGGTTTGCTCGTGACACAATTGTCCTAGCTCTTGCCGATCCTCACAGGACTTACGACCGGAAGTTGTGGTTAGCTCGTTCCTGAGGGATTCCTGAGTTCCCGTGTTCCTGAATCGTTCGTCTTATTTCCACCATAGTTCTTCTGTTACAGTTTGAGAGTACGAGTGCCTACCGACTGACAATTACAGGCGTGGAAGAGTAAAGATTGTTCATGGAGCCTTAACCGGCGTGAACGCTTATACACGACATGGCGCCCACCGGTGTCTTTTAATTTTCCCGATGTAACAAAATTATTGGTGGAAAGTTTGATGGTAATTTACTGTAGAAGTGGTCCGTTTTGAAAGGCGTCGAACCGCAAAGGTACGCCGAAGGAGGTCAGCGTTCCTGATCTGGCCTAGTTAATTTATTTTTAGCGAGCTTCCTCGCAATTGTGAGCTTCCTCACTGGTGAGCTTCCTCGCCAATTAAATTAAATTTAATTAAGTTGGACCGTAGGATTAAACAGTCGAAACCTTAAAGGTCGGCTGTGTTGAAAAGTTCAGTCTGGTGTGGGTAATTTCCGGGTTGTCTGCGCAAAGCAGTAACCGCGGTGAATAAAGCGTAATCAGCAGTGTCAGTGCACCTGGCCTGCAGATAAATCAGATAGTGAGCACCGAGCCATTGTCATTGGCCAGGTGAGATAACGATCTCCAGCAAGACTGATAAAGGCAAGCCGCAAGCGGTAGCCAAAATCAGCAGCTAGAGAGAGTTGACCGTGAAAAAAGGTAAACACCGGCAAACGGTGATTGACCTGTGAATTTTAAATTACAGTAGCACGCAAAGTGCAGCAGTGTAATTTTCGAATTTGTTGCAGTCGAAACCGCAAAGGTCGACTGCCTTTAAACTATCACTGAACAATTCAAACCTCAAAGGAGGATTGGGACGTGATTGTTATTGCACAATAGCAATAACGGTATTTGTCGGAAACGGTAGCACAATCGCTGCTGTATATAATATTTTAATTAGCCGCAAAGGTTAATTTTAAAATAAAGGCAAAATGTCGGGCGGTCCGATTCCTAGAAATCGCCCACCACCGCGTAAAATCCCAGATAATAAAGTGATTATTGGGGCGTACGATGGGTCGAGAGCTCAGACAAGGTTCAAATTCAACGCAAAAGAAATTCCGTTGAATTTGATGTACTTTGCTCTTAACGTTGAACCACCAGAAGCACCAGATGCATTCTGTGGAAAGTCATGGATTGACTACCAGGAAATCAGACGGTACTTAAATTCCAAAACGAGATTACCAACACATTTTAAACCTTGGATTGAGTACGAGGGATGTATCCCTGAAGCTTACCTGGACATCACGGATGAGCAGTTTAAAGCGGCTTTGCAGGATGCAAATAGGTGGCTGCCAGAATACACGGAAGATTTGAATAGACGAAGAGAGGCGGCCCAAGCCGCACTTACAGCGTCAAAAGCAACCGGAAAAACTCCAAAAAAACAGGCAGCAAATGAGCGCGTCACGCGCGGTGCCAAGGAGAGAATTCCAGCCCAGGCATCCGGTGCGATACTGGATGAACCCATATCGGAAACTCCAAGCGTGGCCGAGAGCCAGACAGAACCCCAGTCGTCCCAGTCGGACAATAACTTGATAGCGCTGTCGGCTGCGGATAAAGCGGATATCTCCGAGGGATCTGAAACAAGAGCAAGTAAAAGTATTCGCGGTGGAACAATGACATTCCACCCGGCACAACTAAAATTACATAGCTTTGTGTCGGAAAAGGATTTTGAACAACCAGATGAGGACTTTCTTACTCAAGCTAGGGAAGTAGATGAGCAGTTAGCTGCGGCAGAAACTGACCAGGACGTGGGCTTGATAGTTCGGCAAACTATGCCCGTATTGATCCAAAGCCTCCGCACGCTCATCGCATCTACAAAATCAAAAGTTGATGAAATGGGTAATACAGTGTCGTTAGACGCTCGCGTCGATGCGGAACGAAATGAAAAATTGAAATTCCAAAACGATTTCAATGAAATGCGTATTAAATTTGAAAATGAACAAATAGAAAATGACAGATTGGCCAACGAAATACGCATTGCGAATGATAATCTGCATGGTTTAAGACAAGCCAACAGAAATGCGGAAGTCGCATTTAATGCAATGAAAGATGAGCGCGATACCATAACAGACACGAATCGTAAATTGGAAAAACAGTTGGAAGACGCTCAGAGAGATTTTTCAAGTGCGAAAGCTACAATTGATGGTCTCAATGCCCAACCAACACCGGACACAGCAAAACAAATTGCTGATTTAGACCAAAAAC